AAAAAAAAAAAAAAAAAAAAAGGAATGGTGGGTGGGGAGTGGTTTTCACCCAGGTGGCCCAGCTGCTAGAGGATACACCCAGATGCCCACCAGTGGTGGCTCCCTGGAAGACAGAGGAGACATGGCTGTTCTCACTCTGGGGCCCAGCCCTGCCAGAACTTGCAGCAGGTTTCACAGAGAGCTGGGCCAGTAGCTCAGCATGGGTCAGGGTAAGGGCCATGTTGGAAAAACTGGTTTTTTCTTCATGCACCTTGTGTGTACTTCCTGAGACAGACTCTGATCGCACCTGTTTCCACCGTCCAGCAGTTCCCAGGCATGCCGTCTCAGAGAGACCTGGGCTCCCTTGTGTTTAGAGAGAACATGGCCCCCTTCATTTACCAGCATTACCTGGGGCAGTTTTGCCCAATCCTATGCGTCAACAGCCCCTCCAGTCACACACAGAGCGCTCTGTTCAACTTCCCAAGTAGAGCATCGCTGCCCACATTGAGAATCTTGGTCCATTGGATCCACTTTTACTGAAAGGAATGCATTATAGCCCTGAAGTGTGTGGGCAGGAAAAGAGATACAGAACCACCCAAGTCATCATGGACCAGCATTTAAGATCCTGGGCTTTGAGTTCAAAGCCCAGCTCTGCCACTCTGGGGCTGGCCAGACGTGGGCCGCTTTTTAGCCTCTTCTGTAATTGGGGACAATAATGGCACCTACCTTAATGCATTCAAGAATGAAATGCATTTGTCAAGGGGCAGGCACACAGTCGGTGCTTACTGTGTGAGTGTGTGAGCACAGACAGCCGCTCTGACCAATGTTCCCAGGACCCCAGTCACCTCCATTCTCCTTCTCATGTTTGGGGCTTTAGGATACAAGATGAAGAAGCGTGTTGGGGCCATTGAAGAGTTCACGTTCCTGCCTCTGACGGAGGGCAGGCAGCTGCACATCACCATCGCTGTCACCGGGTGGCTCTCATCTGGCCAATACCGTGAGCACCAGAAATGCAGAAGGATGTGGAGGCGGGTGGGCATTGGCTGAGCTGGGCCTGCTGCTGTGGGCCAGACCCTGGGCTAGGTTCTTGCCTGCCTGTGTCTCTAGGGAGTGTGCATGGGGAGCCCCATTTTGCAGAGGAGGAAACCGAGGCTTAGAGAGGTCAGGTGACTTTATCTCACATCCATCCACCCACCCATTCACCTATCTATCCATCCACTCATCCACCCAGCAGTATTTATAGAGTACTGTACTTACTAGGTGCCAGCCACTGAGCCAGGCCCTGGGAATGCAGCACAGTCGTGGCCTCTGCTCCCATGGAACATACAGTTCAAGACAGAAGACAGACCAAGTAATTACAGGGCAGCTTTATGGATGGCCCAATAGGGGAAGCACAGGGTGTTTCCGGGGAAGGTTCCTGGAGGAAGTGACATTCAGGCTAAGGGCTGGCTGGAAGTTAGCCTGGCAAAGAAGGAGCAAAAAGCATACAGCCAGCAAAGGGGCAGCATGTGCAAAGGCCCAGTGGTGCAGAAGAACCAGAAAGAACACAGGACGCTGCAGCAGGGAGCCAGAAGGCAGGAGCACAGGCAGGGTCAGCATGTGAGCTGTGGCACGGAGTTCAAATTTGTCCTCAGAGTGAGTGGAAGATAGCAAAGGACTTTAAACATGTGGGTAAGGGATCTGTCTTAGCCATGTGACCTCCAGCAAGTGACCTAACTTCTCTGTACCTCAGCTACTTCATTTCTAAAGTGGAACAAATTATTCCTGCCTTTTAGGGTTGCCACAAAGATGAAATTAACCTAGATAATGCATGGAAGGCACCTGGTTTCTAGTTGGCATTCCACAAACATGACTCTCCTTTGCTGTTCTAATTTGAACATGCATGTTTTAGGGGATTCTAACCAGGATGGCATTGAGGACTCACATGCAGTCCGCTTGCTGCCTGGCTCACTTCTGCAAGTGCCCAGTGTGGGGCTCGACAAACAGTTCATTGCTTAGAGGGAGGGCAGGGTGAGCCAGGGAATCCCGAACATCCCAACCCAATCACCAGGCACACATGCCGAGCAAATGATAGAGAATAAAGCAGGTGAGAAAGTGTTGAGAGGTGTTACCAAGCATATTGGTGTGTGACTGCCAGGCCTCATCCCCACACAGAAGGTCTCTAATCTTAACTGACACCTGGCTCCTGCCTAACCTGAGTCAGGCCTTCTGCCTGCACAGTAAGAACTAGAAATGCACAGCCTCCTTGCTCCTCCCATCTACCCTCTGAGGCGTGGGCTGGTCTTATCCTGATTTGTTGAAGAGGAAACCTGGAGAGGCTGTGGGGCAGTGAGTGGCTAGTGCAGGATTCGAACCCAGGTCTCCTGGCCCAAAGTTGAGGGTTTCTTTTCTTTTCATTACACCATTCTACAGGCAGGAAGGAACAGGAGCAAGAGTCTAAGAAAAGGAATTCGCAATTCTCACCAGTATGGAAAGCAAATCCCTTATCTTTGTTTTACCCCCGTTTGCTCAGTTGGCTCCAGGTCAAAAGTCAGGTTCATCTGGGGTCAAGGAAATAGTCTTCCTTGTTCTCCAGCAGTCTAGGACAGTGTGGTACCCAAGCAGAGGGGTGGTTAAAAGAAATATAACCAAACTAGAGAAAGTTCAGGAGGAAAAAAAGTCACCCATTGCTGTCTCCTTGACCGCCAGGAAAGAAGCCTCTCTGTCATCACTGGTTGGCATGGACATGTGATGGGAACAACTGGACTTTCTTCAGCCCACCCTTTTTAATCATGATTATGTATAATAATGATAACAGCTTTGTAGCCAACCGCTGGCCTAGAGCCAGGTGCTCACCCACGCACCTTGCATGCAGCAGCTCACTAGTTCCCTAGCACCCCCATTTTACAGATGAGGAAACTGAGGCTGATAAGGGCTGCCCAGGGTCACCCAGCTGGTCAGCAGCAGGGGCAGGATTCACCCCATTCTGTCTGGCTCCACAGCTCATGTTCTTGGTCAGCACTTTACAGTTCATATAACGCTTTTCATGCAGTGTCTCACCTGACCCCCACCACACCCGGTGGGCTACATGCCTTCCTGTGAGTCACGCAAGCAGGAAGCTGCCGAGCTGGGTCCAGAGCCCGGGTCACATCACATCGAGCCCAAACTCCCCCCATTCTGCACCTGCTGCCTCTCTCAGGGCTGGCTGCCACCTTATCCATAATTAGAGGCCATTGATCCCTAAGTTGTTGCAGAGCTGAGTCAGGTCCCTGCAGAGGGAGACAGAGCCACCGCATGGTTGTCTTTGTGTCAACAGAGCACCCTGCTGGTGAGGATGAGGGCTTTGGGTCAGGAAGGAGGAGGCATGTAGTTGATGTTCAAAACCTGAAGGCTCTAGGAAGCTGGCTGCACCCACCCATCCATTCATCGTGTTTGTGTGAGTGCTTACTACGCACCGCATGACCAGGCTTTGGGATTGTGGTGCTGAGCAGAACAGACTGTAGGAGAGACATACGTCCAACAAGGATGCAGAAATAAACGTGTAATTACAGACTGTGATGAGAACTTAGGATGAGAAAGTGCAGGAGCATTTGCCCTGTCAGAAGGGCTGGGAATCCTTCCCTGTGCACTTCCTGTGATTGAACTGGAATCTCAAGGACAAGTAAGAGTGAACTGGGGGAACTGATGTAAGATCCAGGAGCTATTGGAGGGTTTTAGGCAGGGATGGGAAGAGACTTCTGTTTTGAAAAGGTCACTTGAGCCACAGGCAGAAATGGATGGAGGCCAGACGAGGGCCCCTCTGAGCTCCTATCTGAAGGCAGAGGGTGGAGGCAGGCAGTCCAGATGATCCTTTCCTGCTCGACATTGGCACTGCAGGGTGCTGACTCATCCTCCTTCCACAGGTCACTTAACACTTACACTTCCTAGGTGAGAAACTGAGCCTCAGAAAAAGAGCTGGGCTCAAGTGCCTCTTCCCCCACTTGCCAGACTATTCCCAGTTGGTGCTTGTTGAATCAACATGCTGCTGACTCACAGAGCTTGTCCCGTTTCATGTTCTGGTCCCATAGCATGTTTTGTCCCATAGCATGTTCCTATTGTACGTTGTCAGCAGCCAAATGCCGGAAGTACTGCAGGGTAAGAGAAAATAATACTCTACATAGATAGTAGTTCAAACACTTAATTCTTACCACTACCCTATGACAGGAGATAGATATTAATCTCACTTCCCAGATAAGCAGAGTGAGGTTCAAGGTGGGAGAGTAATGTGCCCAAGGTCAGCCAGCTATGAACGAATGCAGGAGGCTGGGATTTGGGCTCCTGCCTGCTGACCCTGGGGGCACAGTGCTCCGTCTGCCCTGTGACAGCAGCTGCTCACTAGCAGGTGGGCCTTTTGTCCTCCCCGCAAGGGTGAGTGTTCCCCTGTCACTGCCTGTCTGGAGTAGTGGGGTGAGACGTTCTCTACCACAGACAGGAGAGACCCCACCTACCTGTGTTCTCCCCAGGCACCTTCAGTGCCCCATGGGCTGCCCTGTCCCGTAGCCGTGAACAATATTGCCTGGCCTGGGAGGCCAAGTACCTGATGGAGCTTGGCAACGCCCTGGAGACCATCCTCAGTGGTCTTGCCAACATGGTGGCCCAGGAGGCCCTGAAGTACACAGTGTTATCTGGTAAGTTCCCCCTCCCCCTGCCCACAACATGCCCACTGCTTCTATTCCCCAGGGGTACCACGTGGTACCACATCTTTGCATCCCCCAGGGAGCCAGGCACTTTGCTGGACCCTAGGAGCACAGAGAGGTGAAGGCTTCATTCCCGTCTGTAGCCAATCACATCATGTATCAGTTAGCTATTGCCGCATAACAAGCCACCCCAAAACTCAGTGCCTTAAAATAACAGTCTTGCATCATAATAGTCCAGGAGTTGTGAGGCTGGAGTTGACTGATCTTAGCTGGGCCTGCTCGTGCATCTGTGAGTTGGCCAACTCTCCACTGTCTGAGCTAGCCTTGTCTGGGCAGCTAGGGCAACTCTGCTCTGCCCCTTAGTCTCCCATCCTGATGGGAATAAGCAGGCTAGCCCATACCAGTGGCCGAAGTGCAAGAGAAACTAGCCCCAATGCACAAGTCCAGTCCAAACTAACATCTTGTTGACTATGGCTGAGGCTAGGGAATATAGGCGGGGGGGATGGGCATTACAGAGTTGGAAGGCAAAGTGGGAGGATACGTGGGGGGTGGTGGCAGATTTTGAATTTTGCACATAACAAGTGCTTGAGCAGAAGAGATTTAGTCCATGTGTCAGAAATACATGAGCTTCCATTTTCCTTGCTATTTAGCAGTTTGACAACATTTGGGAAACTCGCAGGTTCCAAGTTAGAGACTCTGCATGTGTTCATTCGAGCATCCTTTAGCCAGTCACTTTTCTAGAAAGCACCCCCGCCATACACTCCCTTCATCCCTGATATTCCACCTCCCCAGGCATTGTGGCTGCCCTGACCTGGCCAGCCTCACTCCTCGCTGTCGCCAACGTCATTGACAACCCCTGGGGAGTGTGTCTCCATCGATCTGCAGAGGTTGGCAAGCACCTGGCCCACATCCTGCTCTCCCGGCAGCAGGTACCTGGGAATGGTGGGTGGGGGCAGGAGGGGAAGTGAGGGGGCTGACTTATGCACAGATGTCAGCCTTAGAGGCCAGTCCACTTCTTTGCTGCCCCTCCAGTCCGAGTGATGAAAGAGTCCTAGGATGGGCCATTAAGAATTATAGACTGTGCATCTCCAGCATGTACTTGGTAAGGACTGAATAACAGGCATCTGCAAGTACAAACAAGGTGGGGGGACTCGAGCAAAAGTGAAAGTGGCTCCTATGTATCAACTCTTAATTTTTTTTTTTTTTTTTGGCAGCTGGCCAGCACAGGGAACCGAGCCCTTGACCTTGGTGTTACAAGGCCCCACTCTAACCAACTGAGCTAACTGGCCAGCCCCTCCCATGTATCAACCCTTAATTAAAGAGTTTAGTAATAATGGTTGTGCCCATTTGTGCAACATTTCAGTGGAAACCTCTGACTCGGTTTGCAGTAAAGCCAATAGAGTGAATGAGACCACGTGCCTCAGTTGGCCACAGATGGAATTCCTACATGCTGGTGGCCGGGTGATCCTCCCTAGAAGTGTAAGCTACCATGGGAGGAAATCTTCAGTGGTATAAATATCCTGTAAAATGGTTAGGAAGAGAAATCATCAAAATGCTTTTAAAATTTGAACCCAGTAGAGATGTGCTTACCAAGGAAATGAAACTGTCCCCTTCAAAATAAACTTAAGTAAATGGAGACCCAGGTCTGAGAAATAGTATTAGAGGTGACTGTATTGTTAGCACTCATTTTGGCTACAAGTGTGAGAAAGCCCGAATAACAGTGGCTTAAGCAAAGGAGAAGTTTATTTTTCCTGGAAGAGCCTAGGAAGGCTGTCCCACACTCGAATGGCGTGCCATCGGGTGGAGGCCCTGGTTCCTTCCACCTGTTCCTCTGCTGTGTGTGGTCTTGACCTCATGGCCCAAGATGGCAGCATCTGAGCCCCAGGTAGCAGGGAAAAGGCCGAAGAAGAAAGAACACAGGCCTTACAAAAGCTGGGAAACATAGTCTTTATTCCGAATGGCAACGAACCCAGCAGAAATTCAAATACTATGGAAAAAAGGGAGGATGGATATTGAGGGGCAACTAGCAGTCTCTGCCACCATAGGTAAGTTGCTTGAGAAACTAATAACCCCCATCCAATCCCGGTATCTTTGAAAAAGAAATAAAGATGTCTTCTGGCAGATCTGGCAGTAAGGCAAAGACCAAAGTGGAGTAGGCTAAACAGGATGGAAGTTTATTCTCTCCCGTGGAATGGTCGGTGTCGGCATCCAGAGCAAGATGATGTGTGTTTGTCTCCTGTTGGACATCCTTGGGGCGGGGGACACCATTCTTACTCCCACATGGGTGGCTTCGCAGTTCTGGGATCCCAGTATGGCTCCTCATCCTGAGCACTTGGCTCTCCTCGTGGGCCAGGACAGATCTTCCAGCATTACACATGCGCTCAGACAGTCGGAGGTAGGAACGTGGAAGTGAAGAGCATACCTAGATGTCACAGCCATGGCCCGTCTGCAGTCCTGGGTGGCCAGGACTCAGCCCTGTGGTCACCTCCAGCTGCAGAGGAATTGGGGAAGCAGACTGGCTGAGTAACTGTGTGCCCAGTAAATCTCAGGAGTTTTATTACTAAAAGACAGAGTGGGGGGTGGATATAGGGAGATGACTAACAGTTTGTGCCACAAAGTTCCTGCAGAATTTGAATACTGTTTAATGGAGGATTTTCTATTGTAGTAAATGGGGGGGAGTATGTGTATTGGCGTAAAAATAAGGAAAAGGAATAGATGGGTAAAACTGGACTGGGCCTCCAGAGTTCATCCGCTCCTTCCCTCTCCTCCCGTGTAGAACTTATACTCAAATACTCCAGATAACTTTCTTTTTCTTTAAAGCCTTCCTGTAGTAACAAATTGCCTTTTCTGACAAATTGAGTCAGAAAATTCCTCTGTGCATCTGACTTACTACCTTATCTTGTCACTCAAAGCCAATATTTTGTGTCCCACTTTCCTCTCTAGACACAGAACAGTTGTCCCTCCATATCACTCTTTGCCTTTTTGCCCATCACACCTGGGGCTACCTTCTGCCTCATCTCCCCAGCTCCAGAAGGTGTCCAGGTCACTGCACTCACTTGACCCAAGGCAGAAGAGTCCAAGCGAAGGAGCTCTTGTAATTGACTAGTCCTCTCTCCTGGGGAAGAAGAGCCAAGGCGTGGATAACGGTTTGGGATGAAAGGGAATTAACCCAGCCAGAGGCGGCCTTTTGGCCTTGGAGGAAGCCAGTTCCAGCAGCAGGTGCACTCCTGCGTAAATGAGGGCCCTGACCCTCCTGATTAAGACATCAGAGCTCAGGCCAAAATAGCACATGCATGATTGATTAAGTGAGAGGCAGGCACTAAAAAGTATGCAAAGGCTGCCCTTGTCAGGGCTAATGTTTTGCTAGAACTGGCTGTATCCCTGCCAGACACCTGTATCCTTTATCCCCCAGGGCCAGCGACCTGTCACCTTGATTGGCTTCAGCCTGGGGGCCAGAGTCATCTACTTCTGTCTGCAAGAGATGGCTCAAGAGAAAGGTGAGTCCAGCATATTGTCACAGACAAAATCCCTTCCCAAGTTTGTCCCCCAAGCCAGAGGTTCCAGGCCAGGGATCACAAGCCTTGCAAAGTGTGTTCCCAGTGTTTAGAAATAATAGTTAAAAGTAGTTTAAAAATAGAAAAAAAAATGTTCAACCTTTTGGAAAATAGTTTATTGTTTCTGTACATAAATTAGAGTGAGTGTGAGACAGACAGTCCTGTAAGAATGACCCTGACCCTTGTGTTCTGATGTGTGTTCCCAAGTGGGTGTGAAAGGGACGAGAAGTCCAAAATCAAAGCCTATAATCAAGGTGTTGGCAGGATCAACTCTGGAGGCTGTAGGGAAGGATCCTCCCTGATTCTTCCAGCTTCTGGTGGCTGCCCACACCTTCCTGGGCATCCCTTGGCTTGTAGACACATCACTCCAATCTCTGCCTCCGTCTCCACATGGTCTTCTCCTGAGTGTCTTCCCTTCTCTTCTCTTATAAGGACAGTGTCATTGGATGTAGGACCCACTATAATCCAGGATGATCTCAAGAGCCTTAACTTAAGTACATCTGCAAAGACCCTTTTTCCAAATAAAGTCTTATTCACAGGTTCTGGGTGGACATATCCTCTGGGGGGCACCACCGTGGAACCTGCTACGGTGTGTCATGCCTCCAGTGTCATCCCTTCTGTGTTGAGGTAGCAGAAAGCTTGCGGACTGCTGCCCCTGGCCTCGCGTTGGTGAGGTCTCCAGGGCAGAACTCTGGCTTCGGACAGGTGTGTCAACAGAAGCTGCCTGTGGGAGAGGTGGCTGGGGGGAGTGAGTTGCAGAGCCCGGGGCACCTGGGGTGGTCTGCTGTTCCTGGGACATGGACTTGCCTCCCTCCTGGTGCAGCATAGCAGCAGCAGGACTCTGAAGGCGAGAAAAGGAACTGAGAGAGGAACTGAGCCTGAGAGCAGAGGATGGATGGGAGGGAAGGGACGGGGGTTATGGGCAACGTTCTCACTCAGGATTTCACTGACTGCATCCCTGAGCCTCAGTTTCCCCATTTATTAAGTTGAGTCAAGGACACCCATCTCATGGGATTGTTTTGAGGAGCAAGTGAGGTGCCCCACACAGTATTGCTGCAAATTTTGAAACCCATCATTGACTAGAGTCAGCTCAAGGATGTCATTTGCAAGATTCTGTCAGTTTCCGCCAACTCGAGGCCACTCCTCAAGATGACCCCAGCCACTCTCCTTGGTCAGCCCAAGCATGTGGCACCATTGATGCACAATTGCTAGTGAGCAAGAAAGGGTGGGAATGTCTGCCACTGGGGAACCTGAAGACGTCAGAGATTCAGGGGCTGACAGCTGTTACTTTCAGCGTGGCCTTCTCAGAGGGCCCTGGGGAGACCCCGGGGCTTAGGGGCACAGCTGCTTCCTGTTCTTTATCTTCTGCTGAAATGTTTCCCACCATCACCACAGACCCAGGACAAGAGCTGTTTTCCTGGTTATGAGGCAGGGTGGACCTGCCGTCCTTGGCCTTGACTATGGAAGGGCCAGGCTCCCGTGCGTGTGTGCTCTGTGGTGGGCCCCGCCAGCCTCTCTGCACTCTCCCATCCTCTGCTCCCTCGTAGCTTCCAGCAGCCGCAGCCTCCTTCTTCCCCTGGTTTGTTCTCATCAGTGAAAACAACAGGACAGAAGGGAGGCACCTCTGTCCTATTTCCAATAGTTCTGGGTAACCTGGGCCCACCATGCAACAGGCCTGGGGAGCAAGCCCTGGGTCACGTTCACCAGGAAAATCCAGGCTGGGGTCAGCAGTCGGGCAAAACTACCAAGGAAGCAGGGGTGATTTTGGGTAAAGATGAGTTTCCACTTCTACCATGGAGGACACTGTCCCTTCCCTTTCTGTATACTTTCCCCTCCCAGCCATCAGCAGAGGCAGAGCAGGTTATTAATAAGACATCCCTCACCCGCTTTTCCTGCTGTCCCTGCCTCAGAGAATCCACCTGGGACCCCCTGGCCTGCTGGGAGGAACCCCCCAATACCCACAATGGCTCCCCAGCCTCAGCTCATCAACCCCTTCAGTAAGGGGCTTATCGAGCTGCAGCAACCCCATTGCCTCCTACTGCATAATGCCATTTTCTGTATCCCTACTACTTTGTGTAAATGATAACTATACCGTCAGAATCTCTCAGCAAAAATGGGGAGACAGTACTTCTCACACAGTAAAACAGGATCTTTGTGATAAAAATGTGTGGGTTACAAAGAGGCAGGATGGACGTATCCATCGGCTGTTGCTGCAGTGATTGATGCTGCATAACTCACTCCAGCCCAAAACTCAGACGCTTATGACAATAGAGGTTTTCATGCTCAGGATCTCCAGGGCGGCTGTGGCTCGGCTGATCTAAGCTGGGCTGTGTTTCCGGCTGTAAGGTTGGCGGGCTTGGCTCCAGGCTGTGGCTGGGCTCGGGTGTGCTCCATGTGTGTATGTCCTGGTGAGGGTGAAGAAACAGCAGCTACCTAGTGCACACTCTTCTTATGCTAGGTCACTAGAGTGCCAGAGCCAGGAGACCTCGCTTGCACTTCTAAGACCTCTGCTTGTATCACGTTCGTTGACATTCCGTTGCCATTATCTATTGCTGCAAAACCACCTCTCCAAATGCAGTGGCTTAAAACAGCAATACCTGGTTATTTCTCCCAATTCTGTGGGATGAGTAGGCAGTTCTTCTCCTTTCTCGCCGGGGCTCACTCGTGCACTTGCAGTCAGAGCAGGACCACCAGGAAGGTCCCACTTGATCTCAACCACATGTCTGGTCATTGGTGCTGTCGGTGGCATAGACACTCCACCCAGCTCTAAATCTGCTCCTCCTGGGGAGGGCTTTGAAAAGTTGCCATCCTCTGTGCCATCGCCCTTTTGCTCCTTTCTTAGTCCTCTTTCCCCCAGCCTATGTAGCAAACCATCTGCCTGGAGTGACATCATTACCTGGAGTGACATGGTCTTATTAATAGAACCGATTCTGCATTTAGAGGAGAAGGCATGTCTCTGCCTCCAGTTAGCATAAATTACATGTTAACTTCAGATCGTTCACACAAGCCAAGGCTTTAGTTCCCCTGCTGAACAAATTGGATTAATTACCATTAGTCATTTGTCCATGGTAATAAGAAGTGAAGTCGCCAATCAGCTGCCTTCAGAAAATAAGGCTGGAAACTGACAAGGGGGAAGAGGGAAGCACGTGGCTTCTCAGTGGGATGTTCCAGCACCACAGCCTTGTGTGTGATGGCTCCCAGAGCAGCTTCTTTCTGGCATCTTTTCTGGTCACTGGACTTGGCTCCTTAGCTTTTTTTACCACTGACTAGCTGTGGGACTTTGAGCCAGTCACTTAACCTCTCTGAGCCTCAGCTTCCTCAAATGAATATGGAGCTTTGCACATATATTAGTGCATTTCTGTTGCTTGTAGCAAAATACATGGAACTGGGTAATTTGTAAGAAAACAAAATTTATTCCTTATAGTTTCAGAGGCTGGGAAGTCCAAAGTCCAGGAAACACATCTGGTGAGGGTCTTCTTTGGTGGCTTTACAGCAACGCAGGGGCCTCACATGGAGAAAATGGTGGAGCACAAACCCACCTCTAGCCCAGTCCCCTCACCTCTCTGAACTCCAGCTGACTTGTGTGAAACAGTAATATGATAATAGTATTGACATCAAGGTTGTTGTGAGGATTACATTATATTCAATGGTGCATATATGAGGGTACTTCAAAAAGTGATTGGGAAATAGAATTAAAAGATAATAATAAATCTTTCCATGAATGTTTTGAAGCACCCTGGTAAACGCTGGCCTATAATAAGGGCCCAGTAATCCATACTGAGCATTTATCATACACTAGGGACTGTCCTAAGCTTGGTAAGTGGGAGCTGACACAGAGCAGTATAATTCCCCACCCCCTATGGATGGCATGGCCGTAGACCTAGTGGAGGAAAAGTTGGTCTCCCACAACGGTCAGGGTCTGCAATTCCTATCCCTTCTTATCGCCACCCCCACCTTCTGCCTCTGTCTCAACAACCCCCTCCCAAGTCCTTGCCTTGTGTTACTGATGGGGCATCTTCAAGTTTCCAGCTGGCCGTGATCCTGAATGAATTCTTCACCCTTTGCCTGGAGCTGCTGTTTCACATCTAATTCATTCCAGCTCGGCTGTCTGGTTTCAGGCAGACCTACTGGTTTAACACCCAATTAATCTACACACTGAGGAGACTGTCTCCTAATTGCAGGAAAGCTGTCATTATCTGAGTTAGTAGATGTAAAGGAGGAATTACTCTAATGCATTTCAATCCACTAATTGTTTTATGGAGCCCCTTGAGAACTAGTAATGAAATGTAGCAATAAATCCCAGCATCACCCAGAGCACATAATCCTTCAGCCAGCATCCCCGTCCCCACCCCTGCCTAACAGCAGCTCGTCCTTCCTTCCCTTTCCCCAAGAAAAGCTGCTACAGAAATAACTGTCTCTACAGCTTCCTCTCCCTTTTCAGGTGATGCTGCAAACAGCAGAGGTTGCTACTCTGGGGATCTGCCACCATTCACAGGGTGCCCCCCACAGCCTGGCCTGGCCATCCCTCAAGCTCAACATGGTCAGCTTCCTTTCAAATAGGTGTCAAGACTGAAAGCCCTTTGAGGGAGGGGATCATGTCTGATGGACTCTGTGCCTCCTGTACCCAGGATAAAGCTAGTAGAGAGTATGTGCTCCATGAGTGAATTGAACTTGAAGTCTACTGTTATAAGTTTTCATAGTGCATCAGTCAGGATATGCTAGGTTATGCTGCAGTGACAAGCACCCCCAAAATCTCAGAGGTGTAACACAACAAAGATTTGTGTCTTACTCATGCTACCTGTCCACTGTGGGTAGGCAGGGGGCTCTGATCGTTGTAGTCACTCAGAAACCCAGGTCAAGGGAGGTGCCACTTCAACATGTGAGTCCTCAGTAGAGGTCAGAGAATATGGTGAGTGAGTTATGCCCTGGCTCTTAAAACACCT